AAATTAGGTTTGGAATGCGTTGTTGGTGCATATTCAGTGCGTTTTCATCAAGAAATACCCAAAATTCGAACTATTTTACCAAAAAAGAATGCAAAATTCTGAGATTACAACTAAAATGCATTATTTTCCTGTCTTTGTACAAACAAGGCAAAAAAATAGGTCAAAAATGCATTATTTTTGCTGATTTTGATAAATTTCTTGAAATAGAAAGAAATTTTAAAAATTTTGACAAAAAAGGCAAACAATTGCAAAAATTGAACCAATTTCGATGGATTTTAAGCGTTTTTCAGCAAAACAATGTGGAAAATCGCAAAATTAGAGCCATATGCGTATTTTTCATAATTTTGATAGGAAACTTTTGATAGGAAAAATTGAATTATTTTCACATCGTTCGCAATATTATTTAGAACGTTTTTTATAAGTAAACTCTCAAAAATTGTATAATTAGGTTGAAATGCGTTATTTTTGTTGATTTTGATAAATTTAGAGTATTTTACAAGAAGAAACTCACAACATTTAAAAGATTTTGCCAAAACATGGCAAACAATAGCAAAAATTTAACCAAAATGAGTTATTTTCGGCTATTTAACTCAGTAATTTTTAAAATGACACTTGGAAATGCGTTATCTTTGCTTAATTTTTATAAGTAAATGCAGACTATTTTTTTATCAAGAAACAAAAATAAAAATCTTTTGAGGTGAATTACTTTCGTAGTCGTACAACTAAAATGTATTATTTTCTTTGTATAAATAAGGCAAAAAATAGGTCAAAAACGCGTTATTTTTGCTGATTTATCGAGTAAGATAAAAAAAACTAAATCAAAATTAAAAAAAAAATGGAAGACCCAGTGATATAATTTTGGAATAATGGCAACAAATAAAAACACTTTTCATTCTAAGTAAAAAATACAAAATGTGAACATAGTATATTGAATCTTTCCAATGGTAAAAAAGCTAGATCAATTTTACCAAAACAAGGCAAAAATCAAACCAAAAATATGTTTTTTTTTCATCAATTTGAACGAATTTACAGCGTCTTTACTGAGAAACTCACTAATTTCAAAAGATTTTGGAAAAAATGTGTCAAAACATAGGAAAAAAAATTGTAAAATTTGGTTTGTAATGCGTTGTTGGCGCATATTCAGTGCGTTTTCATAAAAAAATACCCAAAATTCGAACTGTTTTACCAAAAAAGAATAGAAAATTCTGAGATTACATTCAACTAAAATGGATTATTATCCTGTTTTTCTACTAATAAGGCAAAAAATAGGTCAAAAATGCATTATTTTTGCTGATTTGATAAATTTATAGAAATACAAAGAGATTTAAAAGATTTTGCCAAAAAAGGCAAACAATTGCAAAAATTGAATCAATTTCGATGGATTTAAGCGTTTTTAGCAAAACAAAATTAGAGCCATATGCGTATTTTTCATAATTTTGATAAGAAACTCAGAAATAAAACTCAAAATAAATTTTTTTTAAATATAAAATTGCACTTGGAAATACGGTATTTTTGCTGATTTTGATAAATTTAGAGTATCTTCCACAAAGAAATATAAAAGATTCTACCTAAACAAGGCAAATAATTGCAGAAATGTAACCTATTTTGATGGATTTAAGCGTTTTTTGGCAAAACAAGGTAGAAAATGGCAAAATTAGAGCCATATGCGTATTTTCCCTAATTTAAAGTGAAAGTGTAAAGTATAATTATTGCATTTTTTTATGTGCCATTGGTGTCTTTAACAAATTGCGTGTGGCGGCTTACCGCCAAACATGGCGGTGATATAATTTTGAAAAAATGGCAAAAAATATAAAAACAATTAATCCACTAAGAAAAAAATACAAAATGTAATGAATTTACTAACAAAGTTAGATCAATTTTACCAAAACAAGGCAAAATTTAGACCAAAAATATGTTCTTTTTCGTCAGTTTGGACGAATTTGGAGCGTCTTCACTGAGAAACTCACTAAATTCAAAAGATTTTGGAAAAGGGAAATACGCAAATTCGAACTATTTTACCAAAAAAGAATAGAAAAGTCTGAGATTACGACTGAAATGCATTATTTTCCTGTCTTTGTACAAATAAGGCAAAAAAATAGGTCAAAATGCGTTATTTTTGCTGATTTTGATAAATTTAGAGTATTTTCCACCAAGAAATTCAAAAGATTTTACCAAAATCTTGCAGAAATTTCGATGGATATAAGCATTTTTTGGAAAAACAAGGTAGAAAATGGCAAAATTAGAGCCATGTGCGTTTTTTCCATAATTTAAGGTGAAATGTGCATTTTTTTATGTGCCATTGGTGTTGTTAACAAATTGCGCGTGGCGACTTGTCGCCCTCTATTGGCGCCAAAAAAGATTGTGGTACATTAATTTTTTCACCAATAAGATAAAAAAATCACCAACTGACCATTATTATATCAAGTAAGATAAAACTAAATTAAATTTAAAAAAAAATATGGAAGACTCAGTGATATAATTTTGAAAAAGTGACAAAAAATGAAAACAATAATTAATCCACTTTTCATACTAAGAAAAAAATACAAAATGTAATGAATTTACTAACAAAGTTAGATCAATTTTACCAAAACATGGCAAAATTTAGACCAAAAATGTGTTCTTTTTCGTCAATTTGGACGAATTTGGAGCGTCTTTACTGAGAAACGCACTAAATTCAAAAGATTTTGGAAAAGGGAAATACGCAAAATTCGAACTATTTTACCAAAAAGGAATAGAAAATTCTGAGATTACGACTGAAACGCATTATTTTCCTGTCTTTGTACAAATAAAGCAAAAAATAGATCAAAATGCGTTATTTTTGCTGATTTTGATAAATTTAGAGTATTTTCCACCAAGAAATTTAAAGATTTTACCAAAACAAGGCAAATAATTGCAGAAATTTAACCTATTTCGATGGATGTAAGCATTTTTGGCAAAACAAGGTACAAAATGGCAAAAAATAGGTCAAAAACTCGTTATTTTTGCTGATTTTTATAAATTTAGAGTGTTTTCCAACAAGAAATTTAAAAGATTTTACCGAAACAAGGCAAATAATTGCAGAAATGTAACCTATTTCGATGATTTAAGCGTTTTTTAGCAAAGCAAGGTTGAAAATAGCAAAATTAGAGCCATATGCGTATTTTCCATAATTTAAAGTGATATCTGTAAAGTATAATTTTTTCATGTGACATTTTGTGACATGTGTTTTTAACAATTTGTGTGTGGCGACTTGATTGTGGTACATTAATTTTTTCACCAATAAGATTAAAAAATCTGAATAAAATTTAAAAAACATGGAAAGCTCAGTGATATAATTCTGTAAAAATGGCAAAAAATAAAAACAATAATTAATCTACTTTTCCTACGAAGAAAAAAATACAAAATGTGAACATAATGTAATGAATCTTTTCAATGGTAGAGTTTTTCCCCCAGAAACTCACAAAGTCAGATCAATTTTACCAAACAAGTCAATAATTAGACCAAAAATGTTTTTTTTTCCTCCAATTTGAACGAATTTACAGCGTCAAAAGATTTTGGAAAAAAGAAATACGCAAAAATAAATGGAAGACCCAGTGATATAATTTTGGAATAATGGCAAAAAATAAAAACACTTTTCATACTACATAGTGAATCTTTCCAATGGTAAAAAAGCTGGATCAATTTTACCAAAACAAGGCAAAAATTAGACCAAAAATATGTGCTTTTTTTCGTCAATTTGAACGAATTTAGAGCGTCTTTACTGAGAAACTCACTAATTTCAAAAGATTTTGGAAAAAATGTGTCAAAACAAAGTAAAAAATTGTAAAATTGGGTTTGGAATGCGTTGTTGGCGCATATTCAGTGCGTTTTCATCAAGAAATCCCCAAAATTCGAACCATTTTACCAAAAAAGAATAGAAAATTCTGAGATTACGACTAAAATGCTGATTTTGATAAATTTATTAGTATTTTAGTATTATTAAGATTATACCAAAACAAGGCAAATAATTGCAGAAATTAAATTGGAAAAAAATGTGTCAAAACGAAGAAAAAAATTGTAAAATTAGGCTTGGAATGGCCCATATTGAATGCGTTTTCACCAAGAAATACGCCAAATTTGAACTATTTTATCAAATTTTTTTTATTTTAATTAAAAGCAAATGTTGAATTGCAATGATAATGAACTCTGTTGACGTGTTTTAAAAGTTAAAAAAAACATAGAAAACCCAATGATATAATTTTGAAGAAGTGACAAAAAATAAAAGCAATAATTAATCAACTTTTCATACAAAGAAAAAAAAACTAAATGTATACATGATGAAATAAATTAATTATAGAGTTTTTCTCCGAGAAACTAACAAAGTTAGATAAGTTTTGTCAAAACAAAGCAAAACTTAGACCAAAAACGTGTTTTTTATTGAGAAACTCACTAAATTTAAAAGATTTTGCCAAAACTGCAAAATTAATGCAAAACTGCATTTTGTATAAATCTAAAAGTATTTTTTAACACGAAACTCAAAAAATTGGAAAAAAATTTGTCAAAGCAAAATTAGGCTTGGAATGGCCCATATTGAATGCGTTTTCACCAAGAAATACGCCAAATTTGAACTATTTTATCAAAAAAGAACAGAAAATTGTGCGATTACGACTACAATTCATGATTTTCCCGTGTTTGCATAAACAAAGCAAAAAATTTTTGGTGATTTTGATAAATTTAAAGAAATAGAAAGAAATTTAAAAGATTTTGCCAAAAAAGACAAACAATTGCAAAAATTTAACCTATTTCGATGGATATAAGCATTTTTTGGCAAAACAAGGTACAAAATGCCAAAATTAGAGCCATGTGCGTATTTTCCATAATTTAAAGTGAAATGTGTATAGTATAATTATTGCATTTTTTTTATAGGCCATTGGTGTTAACAAATTGCGCGTGGCGACTTGTCGCCCTCTATTGGCGCCAAAAAAGATTGTGGTACATTAAAACAAACAAAAATCATCAACTGAACGAAATAATTTTTGCAGACACGGCCGCTCCTTACGTCCTGTACAAAGATGGAATGGACCAAACTCGAAGTCAGTGGGGTGCCCAAGATGCATATCCGCCACCACAGCAAGGCACTTCCGGTGCAGGCAGTCCCCAACAAGCCTGTGGTCCTACTGTACCCCTTGGAGTCGAAGCCGACGCCGTTCCTCCCAGAGACCAAAGTTTACCTTCTCCTGCTCCTTCCCCCTATCCTGCCACTCAAGCCGAACCCCGTGAAGACGACATCCAACCCGAACAACCGACAATGGACATAGAACCAAGACCGGCGTCGCAGTGCTTTCCCACCGATCTCCAACAACAACAAGCCTACCAACAGTATGCTAGAGCACCACCACCTGCAGCACCGCCTCCCGTTCCTCCACATATGCTAGGAGCTGGGAGTTTCTCAGCGCTTCATTATCTCAAACAGCCCGGTGTCATGCTAACCAGTCTTGGAGCGGAAGGTAATTTTCTTATAATAGACCATTCAGCAATTGAAGTGGAACGTTAGTTCGAATGATTTAGAGCAGATTCGAAGAAGTGAAAGAACAAGAGGAATTTGCGTTTTCCACTGTTTGTTTTATAAGTTTTGTACAGAAAATGCGTAAAATAATAATAATTATCTAAGCGTTAGAGACACAAAGGGTACTCAGCGTTAATTGCACGATGCTTCTTTGGTTTAAGTAAAAAATAATGATAATGATTGTAATAATATAATGCTTGTCTCAGATCTTATCAAACTTTTTTGCTTCCATCGTATTATGCATAGTAGCAAGGAATGCGAACTGAAGAAGTTTATGCAATATATTATCTGTTTTTGTTAAAAAACGTAATGAGGAAGGTTTTACTTCAAAAATGTTCTATAAAAAGCATAAAATTGTCATCGTTAAACCACAAACTTATTCTAATCACAGGAAAGAGAACTAATAAGGCATAAACTGAGGAAAATAAAAATATAGTGCTATGCTACACCATAATTTTAACATATTCACTAATGAGGCATTCGAAAAAATAGAACTGTTTCAATTTATCAAAATGTTTGTCTCTTATATAGTCTGTTTAAAAAAAACAGAAGAAACTAATTCCAATTTCAAAAAAATTCTACCCACCCAAATTGTGATTCTAAAAAATCCACTGAATTTCCAGTAATTCCAAATTAATCCCGATAGAAAGTCAACGTAATTCTAAAAAGAATTCCAGTAATTTAAAGAATTCTAATTACTTCTAAATAATTGGTACAATTAATTCCAGAGTTGACGCTACTCAGTTTTTACATTTTCGTGTTTTTTTCACCTTGTTAAATACAGGGTGTAACAAAAATAATCACAATATTAATTGTTATTAATAATAATGTTAGAACTTATCAAAAGTAACAATAATCTTCGTGTTTGAGAAGTTTTACTTTTTTTATTTATTTTATTTGTTGTTTAATTTATTAATTTAATTTCCTGACTCAAAAATTTTAATTAATTTTTAATGAGTGTAAGACTTATTTTATATAATTTTTTTGCAGTAGCATAAACACATTAGACTTAATTTTTTTAGTCAGGTTGGCTACAATATGAGTTGCCACGTTGTCATTATGTGTATAGATTTAAAACAGAATTTGTTAGATCCTAATAATAAAAGTTTTCTCTCATTTTGTAAAATGTGATTTTTGTTATGATTTTAAAAATCAAATTTAATTTTTTATTTTAATTAAAAGCAAATGTTGAATTGCAATGATAATGAACTCTGTTGACGTGTTTTAAAAGTTAAAAAAAAACATAGAAAACCCAATGATATAATTTTGAAGAAGTGACAAAAAATAAAAGCAATAATTAAACAACTTTTCATACAAAGAAAAAAAAACTAAATGTGTACATGATAAAATAAATTAATTAATTATAGAGTTTTTCTCCGAGAAACTAATAAAGTTAGATCAGTTTTGTCAAAACAAAGCAAAACTTAGACCAAAAACGTGTTTTTTACTGAGAAACTCACTAAATTTAAAAGATTTTGCCAAAACATGATAAACAAAATGCACAATTAAAGCAAAGCTGCATTTTCTATAAATCTAAAAGTCAAAAAATAACCCCATTTATACTACTTATAAACAACAAAACCAGATCTAATATATTGATACTAGCAATTGCTACATCTCTGGTAAAAGTGTTTTTTAACAAGAAACTCAAAAAATTGGAAAAAAATGTGTCAAAACGAAGAAAAAAAAAATGAAAAATTAGGCTTGGAATGGCCCATATTGAATGCGTTTTCACCAAGAAATAGCCAAATTTGAACTATTTTACCAAAAGAGAATAGAAAATTGTGCGATTACGACTACAATTCATGATTTTCCCGTGTTTGCAAAAACAAGGCAAAATTTTTTGCTGATTTTGATAAATTTAAAGAAATAGAAAGAAATTTAAAAGATTTTGCCAAAAAAAAACAAACAATTGCAAAAATTTAACCTATTTCGATGGATTTAAGCGTTTTTTTGGCAAAACAAAATGAAAAATCGCAAAATTAGAGCCATATGCGTATTTTCCATAATTTTAATAAGAAACTCAGAAAATTTGAAAAAAAAATATCAAAATAAATGTAAAATTGCTCTTGGAAATGCTTTTTTTTGTTTGTTTTATATTTAAATCCAGACTATTTTTACCAAGAAACTCACAAGAATAAAAAAATTTCAGGTGGATTATTTTATCATCTTTCGAAGTATTATTTAGAGCGTTTTTTTTATAAGTAAACTCTCAAAAATTGAAAAAATAGGTCTGAAATACGTTATTTTTGTTGATTTTCATCGATTTAAGCGTTTTTATGACAAAACAAGGCAGAAAACAGCAAAATTAGAGTTTTATGCGTATTTTTCATGAGAAACGCAGTAATTTTGAAAAAAATTATCAAAAAAAAGTAGCAAAATCACGTTTGGAAATGCCTTCGTTATTTTTGCTTAATTTTTATATGTAAATTATGCCCATTTTTATCAAAAACCTCACGAAAATAAAAGAATGTGAGGTGAATTACTTTCGTATGTTTTATTGGAAGGAAAATTGCAAAATTATGTCTGGAATGCGCTATTTAATGGATTAGCAGTTTTCATAGGAGAAATTTAACTAATTCTCTGTACTGTTTGTTGGTACTCTTCTGAAAATATCGTAATTCCTTTTTTTCCTGGTAAAAAGAGATAAAGATTGATATTGATAACTCAAAAATATGGAAATAAAATTTATTAGAAAGTAGTAGTAAACAAAAAGGTTAAAACATAACAAAATTTTATAATAACACACAACAACACATTTATTTGGTGTTCCAACATCTGAATTTTTTTTCTGGCAATTTGTAAATCCATTTTGTGTCATTTTGTTGATTTGTTTAAAGAAAACTCCGATAAATTTTGTTTTTTTTTAAGTTCTAAGTTTTTGGCTTTTTTTTCAGGAGAGTTATATAGGATGTTAAAAAAAGATTGTAACATATTTTAGAAGGTAATAGTATGGACCAAACATCAAACAAAAAAGTCTTTAATAAACATGGATCCGCAAAGTAACGGTTTCGGTGATATCGAAGATTATTCGTTTTTTGAAACATTTATTTGCAGTCTGTACCAACAAAAAAGAGAAGCTTCTAGTAAAAATTCTAAAAATTTTCTACATTCGATGTTGTGCAAAAAAACCTTTAAAAATTTCTTAAATAGAAATGCTCAAATTTAAAAAATGTAAATTAAGACTTTTCAAAATATTGTGCTACAAAAGACAGTGGGGGAGACTAAGAAATGTCAAGAAACACCCCGTTAAAAAATTCTAGATTTGCAAAAAAACATTTAAAAATTTCTTAAAGAAATGTAAATTGTAAAAATGTCAATCGAGACTTTTTTAAAACATCGTGTTGCAAAAAACAATGGGGAAGACACTAAGGAAGTGTTTAGAAATACCGGTTTAAACAATATCTAAATTTGCAAAAACAAACGTTTAAAAATTTCTTAAACAGAAATTTAAAATAAAATAAACTGAGACTTTTCAAAATATTGTTTTACAAAAGACTAAAAAAGTGTCAAGCAATACCGGCTTTAAAATTTTTTAGACTTTTCTTGAAGGAATGCTTAAATTCAAGACTTTTTGTTTATTTTGGTCCTTAAATCTTTTACAATCTTTTTTTAAACCATGTATAAAAGTCGCTTTACATTTACACAAAATCATTCTTTTAAAGACACTATTTGTACCAAAAAATTAGTTTTAGACCTAAACATTTAACATTTTTAAAGGTTTACTTACCCCTCCCTACATTCCACTTCGATATTTAAGAGGTCTTTCTCATATCAAATTACTAAATTATACAACAGTTTACCTCATTCGTTTAAAAACCTCAACTCTGCTAAATTTAAATTACTTTTATCCAACCAAGGCTTTAATTAAGCCTGATTTAGTTTTTTCTTTCGTGATATTTTTTTTCTTTTTGAATGTTTAGATTTGCAACATGTTTAGTAAACATGACTATTTTACTTAATACTTTTTCTTTTTCTGTGTTTCAATTTTTATTTTTATTTATTTTTTTTTAAAAAAAGCTACACTGTATCTGTTTATTTTGTTTTGCTTAGCTTAAGATGAAAAACAGGGCTTTTATATGCACGTTTTGTTTTATTTTTCTGTTTTGTATTTTATTTTATTGTTTTTTTGCATATAATAAACACAAAAAAACCTGTCAAGAAATGGTCAAAAAAATGTCCCTGTCTTTCATGATTTGTATAGCTTGCTGAAATATTCCGGTTTGAAATTTCAGGGAACGGCCAACTCGACCAGTACTCCGGCGCCATGCAGGACTTGCGTTCGGCCAGCCTCCCGGACGTGATTCAGCAGCAGCAACAGCAACAAGGCTTGAAGCAGAGCAAAAACGGTCTCGGTGGCGAACTGCGACTATTCAAGTGTTTGACATGCGGCAAAGACTTTAAGCAGAAATCGACTCTTCTGCAGCACGAGCGCATCCACACGGACAGCAGACCATATGGGTGTCCGGAGTGCGGGAAGCGCTTTCGGCAACAAAGCCATCTAACCCAACACCTCCGCATCCACGCCAACGAGAAGCCCTACGCTTGCGTTTACTGCGAACGCACCTTCAGACAGAGGGCCATCCTCAACCAGCATCTGCGAATCCATTCCGGTGAGAAGCCCTATGAATGCCCGGAGTGCGGGAAACACTTCCGCCAGAAGGCCATCCTCAACCAGCACGTCCGCACACACCAAGGCGAGCGCCCCCGTTCTAAGGCGGCCACTCTCGCGGCCCCGTGATCTATTTATTAGCTGTTGTTGTTGTTGTTGTTGTTGTTGTTGTTGTTCTACCGCACGGGCGGTTAGAGTTGGTCTGCTGCACTCCCCACATATTCACTCTTTCTTTCATTGTGCTTTGTTTCTACTCATTTTTTACAACTCCACTTTGCGACTTGGTGCAATTTTAACAAATAAATTATAAACCAACCTCGTTTAAATGCAGTGTTGCCAGCGCAAAACAAGTAAATTCACCAGATCTGAGCTGAAAAGACAGATTTACACCTATTTTCACCAAATTACAAGATTATACCAGGTGAAAAAAAAGTATGGAACCAAACGTGTAAACCAACCACTTTACGAAACATTTTTCGAAATTTCTTTTAGCTTTGATGATATTTTTTTAATTAAAGATTATGATCTAAAAGTAATTTCTAATTAAATAAAATTGTTTTTTAGCCAGTACTTTTTTTTAAATAAATTGGTAAAGTTGCGTTCCGAGCTCATCACGAAGATTTTTCGAACTTAACCGAAAGGGTCATTTCATGCATTTCATGCATTTGGTCTTTGGACAACCCGGTTTTTTGTGCAACTTTAATAATTTATTTTAAAAAAAGTACTGATTAAAAAACAATTTTATTTAATTAGAGGACATTTCTAGATCATAATCTTTAATTAAAAAAATTATCATGGTGGGTTGCCATTTAAAATTTTTTTTTTTTCCAAAACTCGAAAACTAAAAGAAATTTTGAAAAATGTTATTCTTGATAAATGGTCACATTTTAATTGTACTTTACGTTACACTAATTATTTTTTTCGTAAAGTGGTTAGTTTACGAAAAAATCGCTTAATTTTTTTTAATACTGCCGAAGGTTCACGTTTTTTACATAAATCTCGCAAATCTGCTCAAAAACGTGCTTAAACGCTCGAAAAATTCAAAAATAGGATATGCTATTTCATTTAGTATAATTCTATAATTTTTTGGTTAGTATCTCATTAATTTTTGCGAAATGCCGGGTGACGAAAAAATCTATTGGCAACACTGAATTAGAATCCTTCTATCAGAATTTGTGAGTCTCAGTCACCAGAGATTTACGTTTTTACTTGAAAAACATACTAAAATATTCGATAAAAGCAAAAATAATGATTTAATTTGATGGGTTTTTTGGTTTGTTTTAGCAAAATCTTACAATTAACACCATTTTTGACCATATTTTGTATTTTTCGTCCTATTTTTTTGACAAAATTTTACTCAAAAATAGGTAAATCGAATGAAAAAAAAAGGAATAACATCAATTTGGATTTATTTTTGTTGCGTTTAAGCTTGCTTTGACAATGTAAAATAAATAAGTCTCTGGTTCAAAAACATAGATCGAGAAACTTGGTAATTTTTCAGTCAGTTTTAGGAATGTATTTTAAAAACGTGCTGAAATACGCTAAAAATGCAAAAATAACACTAGTTTTGGCCTAATTTGATAAATTTTCGGTTTGTTGTTAGGGAAATTTTGCTAAAAAGATACTATAATGCTCAGAAATGGACAAGATAGTGTACTTTTTCACCCATTTTATCTATTTTTTTTTGAGAGAAATATCATTTAGAAAAACAAACTTATCTCTGGATTTTTCAACGTGTTTTGAGAAAATTTAGCCTTTAAGTTTCTGCATGACTGAAAAAACGTACAAAACGCTCAAAAAAAATACAAAAAAAAAATTGTCATCGTTTTAGACTGAATTTACTAAAATCAAATTAAAAAGTTAATTTTACTAACATTTGAGCGAATACTCGATTTAAAAATTTATTTCAAAATACATTAATTTCTGCTGAAACTACAGTCACGTTTCTAAAACAATCATCAGAAATTAGCATTTTTACAAAAGTCTTCACCAAATCATTAAACTAGTATAAAAATCACCAGATCGGGTGAAATTTCACCAGACCTGGCAACACTGTGTGATTCGTTAATGTTGAGCTTCTTCTAGGTAACTAGCGACATCTTTTGTTAGAACAGTTACATTTTCCGGAAACACCAGATTTTTTTGATTTCAAATCGATGTGCACAATTCACCCAAAAGCGCGTTTAATAAACATCTGATAATTTTTTTGTGCACAGAGTTATCCCAGTTTTGTACATAAAAACTTTACGGTCAACATTCAATGCAAATTATTTTTATTGCTCCTGAATCATGGGGGGGAAATGCAAAAAAAAATGATTTCACGAATTATTTTAGTTGTCAGAATACTTGCTCGTAACATAAATGAAAATGATTCATAAAGTACATAATTGAGTATATTTTTTCTCTAAATATTTTGTAAACACTAACTTAATAAAAATAAAGAAAATTTCTTGTTTTATGAGAAAAAACTTAAAATATTATTCTTTTTGGTAATGAAGGCGGCTCAAATTTTGAAACTAAATTGAGACTGAAAGAGAATTTATTTCATGTTTGTACGCTGTGAATACAGGGCGTTCCAACTATAATTTGCACCCTCCCCCAAATCTCCGATTTCGTCCAAAAAATGCTGAATCAAGTCAATTTTAACTTAACTAAGTTAATTTTAAAGAATTTATTTTTGAGAATCACGAAATTGTGTTAGGCTCATTGTAAATTTGTTCAAATTTTGGTATGGATGGACTAAGAAATTTTATTTTATCAACACTAATGTTTTTACTTTTTAAAGTAACAAAAAATTTTGGTTTGAAGTTGGTTTACACAGTTTACTTGATTCCATAAATTATTGTAGTTCAATAACAAAGTTTAAAAATAAAAACTTTGGTCCTCCTTTGAGTAAACTTGACTCGTTTCAGCATTTTCATTCAAACGGTTAAGTTTCTGAAATATAGAGTCTTAAATGCCGGATAAATGTTTACTTTGTCATTTTGTGTTTTAAAAAATTTAGTTATAATTAGCAAAAACAGACTGAAAAAGTGTTCTCATTTTTAGAAAAATATTTTTTTGTGGAAGAAACCACCAAATTTCATTACTTCAAATGTCACCGACTCTATTAGCAATGTAAACAAGTATGTACTTAAACTAATAATTATTATGCAGGAATTGAAGGACACAGAAGCGGATAAAATTTTTTTACAAGTGTTATTAATTTTTAACTAAAGAACATCTGTAGAACCTAATTTACATTTAAAAATTCGTTACAAACGGAAACCTAAACCAAAAAGCAACGAAATTATAATTCATAATAAATTGTGGTTTGCTAAAAAAAATTCAAAATGTTTTTGAAAGATTCACTGTTTTATGATTAGTCCAATAATCGAAATTCAGGTACTGCTTTTTTATCGTATTCTTTCTATTACAATATTTTAATTAAAGTTCGCTTTCCATATGCACTTTTAACTCTTTTATTGCAAGAACATCCGCGATTCATTTTTTTGCTAAATATGTGTCTCGTAGTTTCAATTTTAAATAACCATAAAAGTAGGTTTAAATTTTTCTTGTTGCAAATTCTAAAAAGCTTTATATTTCCGCTTAGTTTTATTACAGCCATTATGGATATTATTCGCTTTTAAATTAAATTAAAAGAATGTTCAAGAGTTTTATAGTTAGAGCTTTCTTCATTAAGATACATTAGACGATTACTTGAGAAATTCAACAAATATCCTATGCCGTGTAAAAAAGTATTGCTTTCAACTTCAACAGAATTAAAGATTCTTGCTATCGTTGCAACTAGCTTTTCTATAGCTATTCACGTCAAAATTCAATGAATTCAAAGTTACAGTTTTTTTGCACTCGTTTCTTCAACAAGCCTTTTCCTTTCAGACGTGAGCCCCCATTTGGTGTTCAAAAACGGCATGAACCCGACCCTTTGGCCGCAAGACGTCCCTTTCCCCCCCGACGAGGGCAAGGAGGAGGTAGCGTCGACGTACGGCGACGGCGACACCAACTCCCAAAACGACCGCTCCGGGTGCTTCTCCCCCAACGGAGTTTCCGGGAACCTCCAATACCCCGCGTACTTTAAAGACGCCAAAGGCATGAACCATTCGGTTTTCGGGTCGAGTACGAACTTTGGTGCGTTGCAGTACCTCAAACAGCAGCAAGCCGGAAAGGTTCTACCGGATGTCATACAACATGGACGCTCGGCGGGGATGCCCCTGTATGTGCGGTGTCCGATTTGCCAAAAGGAGTTCAAACAGAAGTCCACTTTGCTGCAACATGGGTGTATACATATCGAGTCCAGGCCGTATCCCTGTCCAGAATGCGGGAAGAGGTTCCGACAACAGTCCCATCTTACGCAACATTTGAGGATTCATACCAACGAAAAACCATATGGGTGCGTCTATTGTGGGAGGAATTTTAGACAGAGGACCATTTTGAATCAGCATTTGAGGATACACACCGGGGAAAAGCCCTACAAGTGTGGACAGTGCGGGAAGGACTTCAGGCAGAAGGCCATCCTGGATCAGCACACGAGGACGCATCAAGGTATTTTTTTCGTTAAATTTTAACTAAATAGTAGGAAATACTAATAATAGTAGAAAATATAAATGAAAAAGTCGTTTTTTAATTGAAATTATCTCATATTCTACTTTGGTAACATTGTGGACATTTTCACAAATTTTTTGGTGATTTTTGAAAGGCTGTAACTTTTACACCCAAAATGTCAAAATGTATTTTTTAAAAACAAAATTAACTGTTTCGTTTTTTTTTGTAAATTCTTTCTGGATCGTTTTTATTAGAACACCCTGTATCTCATGAATGGATGATCTGATTCAATTTTGGTAACAAGTTTTGAAAACCTTGCTAAAATAGCTTTCATTTGATGTGCCACAAGTAGGGTAGTGCCACTTAAATTTTTAAAGTTGGGGTGCGTGGGGGTTA